GCAAAAAAAAAAGGCCTATTTTTCTACTGTCCAAGTTTGAACACTTGTCCAGCATCAAATAAAAAGTGTTTTCACCTCTATGTAGCTGATTTTAGCAAATACTGAGTTTCAACTTTCTCTCTAGTTTTTCCATGCTACGTGTTTTTGTGGGGACTCCTACCATAAAAACAGAGGGAAGATGAAGACTGTGGCTGACTGGCTGTGCCATTTCATTTCCCAAATCCAGACACTTCATATACCTGTGTGAGAAAAATACTAATTAACTATATGGGCTTGTGATGAAGCATTTTAATGCATTTATTAGATTTTTGAGTTCTCATTCATTTTCTTGGCAGTATGTTTGAAAGTGTCACAGTTTGAGCATCTAACCTGGCCTCAGTTCAGATTTAGGAGCCCGTGGGAAAATCCTGTATTCATTTAATCAAACACAGAGGAACAGTGTTGGGAAACACAGGAAAAAGACTCTGTACATATTCCCTGATGACAACATTGCTCTAGCTCCCACATATTGACCTGGAGCTGTTTCAAGAAGACATCCTTGTCAAAGCTTGCTACACAATTAAACCCTTAGAACTGCTGAATGGAGCGATCAGAATTTCACATACATTGGCTGTTCAGCTGAGCCACAAGTGATACCTGTTGCAGAAGAGCTCAGATTTTATGGTAGAGGCCTCTTTTAAAAATGTACTATCAAACAACATAAAAATATGCCCACCATAGAAACATACTAGGGATACAATTTCTTAAGCCCTGGAAATTTTTATTTATTTTGGCAATATGAGTAATGTCTCTGCATTGTTTTGGACAGGTACATGGACAGTAATTCCATGTGCACTACTTACAATCACGTGCACACGCTACCATATCACCCAGCAGTACAAATTTGGCCTTAAACAGACACGAGCACAGAACTGCACGGATGTGGGAATGGCCAGGCCCGACAACTTTGAGTTTATGTTGGCTGCAGAGGACTTGAAGATATCTAATGCCAAAGGAATCTTGAGAACCACCCCTGAGAACCAGCCATTGCAACTGGGGCCACACAGTCTAAACCAGCCTCTGGATGCAACGAGTACAAAATAAAGGGTGCAGAAGAGGTTTTCTCTTAAGTATGGAAGGAACAAGTGAAAAGTTTTTTCTCAGCAACGGTGAGCTTAACAGGTCTAGGTTAACTGTTTCTGCACTGGTAACTCTTTGCAGAGCTAGTGAAGTGCTGACCAAAGTCTCCATTGCACTGCAGGTCCTAAGTCTCCCTTCCAAGGATGAAATAGGGAATGACAATGAGCAGTGCACGTGCAGCTTACAACTGCCAGTAAGCAAAAGAAAGGACTATGGTCAATCATCATTGCCTTCCACCAAGAAAAATCTGCTACTGCAGAATTCAGCAACTACAGAAGGACTTTCCTCTCACTCCCTGTTGCTCATCCAGCTTTGCTAAATCCCTTTAATGATTTTACGGCTTGCTTCATCACAAAAACCCCGTTTATTAGTTCAAATTCTCATTCTGCAAGTGGCAGTCAGAGAAAACCTTAAGGAGAAGCAAATTTTTGAGACTCTGCTGTTGAGAAAATGAGCAAAGCCTTCACAAATCAAGATTAACTTTCATTACTTATGGGCCAGACTTTCTTAGACTTATTTTAAATTAAACCAATTTGGGATCCAGAATGCTGGTTCAGAAATAGCTTTTGAACCATTTTGTGTGTCAAGCATTTTAATTCTAGTTCTTCAGGAAAGCCAAGCCCTATATCAAAGTACATGCTGTCATTTTTCCATTAATTTAGTGCCTTATTATATGATGTGTAAAAGAGTCTGTTGTTCTGTTATTTTTTTTTTTTTTAACATGGGTGAAAATAACATGGAGGCTAACTCTCCCAAGAATTCCACTCTGGGCCATTAAAAAACAGCGTGAGTCTTTTTCTGATAGATCATGGTTTTACAATAATGCTGAAAAATTAAAAAAACAGCAGGCACAGAGACTTGAAATCATCACGCTAACTCAGGTAACAGTAAGTGATGGCACTGAAACCACTCTAGTAAGAGCATCAAAATCAACTATTTGGGCACCCAAATTCTCAACATAAGAACTCCATTCAACAGTACTTTTGACTGAACAAGCTACAAAAGAGTTTACATGTTTCATATGAAGAATAACCTTTCAATTAGCATTTAACTTTTTAAAATGCACTTTATTTGAAGAATGTCCATATTTCATTACTTCAGTTTATTTAGTTCCATGTTTTCTTTCCCCTTCTATCAACACTAAGTACAAATTCACCTGCTGGGGTTTGAGAATCACTCAGCAATCATAACCCACCACTCCGCAATGCTGATTCATATCTTCTGTGGTGACTTCAGAGAGAACAAAATAGCAGTATGTGATCAGCTCAACATTAAAAATAAAAAACAAAATCAAAAAAGTTTAGATAAGAAATTTTCTACTGAACTACCCAGAGGCCTCTCTATTTCATAAAAATGCTGAAGTTCTATTGCAAATTCAACCTTACTAACAGTGAAAAGTTCCTCATGGGTTTTTTTGAAACAGCCAAGGACTGTTGACTTCAATAATTATTTCTCCAGTCATCTGTGATTCAACTGATTCAATTCAGCATGCCACAACACTGTTCTGTACTTCCTTGCTGTTTCCTAAACAATTAACAGTTCTAACAAAAAAAGCCTCTGTAAGACGTTTGTATCTGCTTATAAAAGATAAAACATTCAAGTTTTTCTTCAACATCACTTGGCTCCCAGTTGACACTACGATTCCCTACATCAGCACCACTACAATGTGTTCCAGTGAGGGTTGTTTTACTGGTTTCTGAACTCTAGGATAGACAACTGAGAAATCCTGCTGAATAAACACCCCATGGTGACCCATTCCACATAAGGAGCTATGGCAGCTGCTGCAAACACATTGGCTCCTTCTTGGAGATCCCATTCCAGTCTTCTGCTGGGTGGTGTCGTGCTGGTTTCCTTCCAGAGAGCCATCTTCTTGTGAGCTAACAGCAGAGCCTGCCTGCTGGGCCGCTACAAGACATAAATGTTTCTCATTTGAAAAGCAGAAACAGGAGGTACTAGCTTCCTGTATTTTCACAGCTGACCTTAGAAAAGAATTTTGTATATTTCTATTAAATTTCTCCAAAATGTTATATGAGTAGTATTCCTCATGGGCTTTAGCTATCTACAGTATTCTATTAGGTGTTTCCAAAATCTAAAGAGACAGGATGCATCAGGAATTATGGCTGTGTTCTGCCAGTCTGCAGCATGGTCTTACCCTAGAAGATGAAACTCTGTACCTTCTCTAATGGATTGATCTTAAATACAAATACATATTCAGTGAGTAATCTGGACAAAAAGTGGTCCATGATACTTAAAGGCATCTTGGTAAGGGATGCCATGGCAAGAAAGAGTGAACATCATATTTATACATATTTTTATTTTATTTATTTAATTTTCATGGGAAATTATGCATGTGTCACTATTTTATCACCTCTTAATTAACATATGTCATTAAAAAAATCAAAACAGGAATTCAAAATAGATCACTGTGTTTAGAAATGTTTAGTATGTAAGGAAATTAAATGCCTCACTTATAGCACAAAACTCTGTGGTGTACACTAAAAGTTCATCTGTGTTATGCACAGAACTGTATTTGCAAACAGTAATTTACAGAGTACCTGTCAGGGATCAACAGAACAATGAATGCCTGCTGAACCACAACTGTGGACTCACCTTTGGTCATTTCAAAGACTCAGCCAGACAAAAGTCATAGCTGAGCCGTGATCCAGTGCCAGTAGCAATCCAGGCTGGAACAGAAATTGGACTAGATGACCTCCAGAAGACCCTTCCAGAGAACATTTCTATGATTCTCTGATTTCATGGTACTGTGCAAGGTTACCACATTCTTAACAAATGATTTTATGAAAAAAATAGGTCATGGTAAAAAAAAAAAAATCACAATCAAAACTGGCCTTTTGAATTATATTAAGACAACAGCAATATATTATAAAATCAACATCAACACTAGCATGTTAAAATATGCTAGTGGCATACAGAAGGCATGCAGCTGAAAGAGGACCACTTTCTCCAAGATGGATAATCGACTTCTGCCTTATCAAGAGATCATATTAAACCATTTATTCTGACCACATGTTGCCTAAAGCCTGATGAAGTAAGCCTACAACTCTGTAAGCTTTCATGTCCTTTTAAAAATTTTTGTGGTAGTTTTGCCCAGTGATTCATACTACTATTTTTAAGTAGTTTGCCCACTCATTTAAAACTTTTAGTGCAATCTCACAACTGATCAAAGGCTTAAAGTGAAGGCAGTCAGCTCCTCAGAAAAACATTATACCACCAGAAAAGCAAGGATTGGGCACAAGAAACCAGGTTCAAGAAATGAAGCCAAAACCCATTCTTCTACTTACATTCTTATATTCATTTCTCTTTAATAATCAGTGACTGTTTTGATTTCGAGGTGAGGACATTACCAAAATCCGACACTATTTTTAGACAGTGTTTATTCAATAAACACTGTCTCTTAGTTCCTTCAGGGATGCCAAGGGATGCAACTGTTGCACGGTTCACCTGCTGGCTTGATGCAAGGACATTACTCCCGCCACACTCTCCCTGTAACCGAGGGAACCGCGGGGATCCACGCCATCCCCGCTGCGGCTCCCGGACACCGGGAAAGATGGAACGAGGCGGCTCTCGGAGTCGTTCAGGGAGGCCGCGAGCGGCACGAGGAGCGGCCGGAGCCGCTGCTCTCGTCACGGCCGGGAGCCGGCCCGGGTGCCTGTGCCGGCCCGCAGAGCCGCGGTGCCGCTGCCGGTGCCGCTGCCAGCCCCTGCCGGCCCGCAGAGCCGCCCGGCACCGACACACGGAGCTCTGGTAGCGGTACCCGGCCGGGCCCGGCCCCGCGCGGCCCCGCGGGCAGGCGCGCACACAGACGCATCCACAGACAGACACACGGACGGACGCGCACACACCCGCGCACACACACTTACTTGATGTCCTCCCAGACGGCCGGGCCGTAGTTGCGGATGACGAGCAGCTCCAGGGCGTGATTGACGAAGCCGTACTGCGGGGCAGGACGATGCGGTGGCACGGTCAGGCCCCGGGCGGCAGGGGAGCCCCTTCCCCCGCCCCGCAGCATCCCACCCCACCCTTCCCATCACCCCGCCGGGAAGCGACCCCACCGAAACATCACCCATCTCCCCCCGAAACAAAAGGCTGGGGCCCGGCTTCCCGCTTCCCTAGGGGATTCAGCCCCTTCCCTACCCCCGCGGGCCCGGTGCCGGGCAGAGCGGGCGCGCCCCGGCCGCGGGCAGGGCGGGCGGCCCGGCGGAGCTCACCATGGTGCCGCCGCCGCCGCCGCCAGCAGAGGATGGGCCCGGCTCCCTCACCACCTCCCCCGGCCGCCGCCGCCCCGAGTGGCACCCGCCGGCAGCCAATGGCGAGCGCGACCGCTGCCCGAGGGGCCAATGGCGGGCGCGGCCGCAGCGCTCTCGTCCAATCAGAGGCGGAGGCGGGGCTGCGGGGAGTCGAGGGCCGCGCGGGGGCCGCGGCCGGCGCCGCCCGGGGCTGGGGGGCGGCCGCTGCCCGTGCCCGGCTCGGAGCAGGGGCTCGGCCCGGGGTCTGGCTCGTTCCTGCTCGCACCCATCCTGCACGCAGTGCTTGGGTGGGAACCTGTGGGGCAGTTCTCTGTGCAGCGATTGCTTTCACGAGAATGCTTCAGCTGTTTCTTGTACCGATGCAACCGCTTAGTTTTTAGGAAGAAAAATGTCCCCAAAAAAGGGAAGAATCTGAGCGACAAAGTGATCCCAGACATTTCTGCTCCTGGGCATTCATTTCTCAAAGACCAGTGAAGTTAAAAGCATAATACTGAGTGCTCTCAGTAATGGGGTTTTTGTGTGATTTTGAGTCCTTTCCAGGTGTCAGTGTGAATAAACAGAGTGCTGTATCATAAACCTCCTGAACGTGGATTCTTAGACAGTCCTCTGGGTAAGATATGACCCTTGCAACAGGAGGTTTTGAGCAGAGACAATATGCCAAGGCCAGTTTGGAAATAGCACACGATACCATATGTTATCATATACAAGGAATAAAAAAAGATAATATAGCTTAAAGCCCTTTGTACAATCAAAAGACCTGGCCCCAGTGTGTGAAATAAAAAAATCTAAGGAGACCACTAACTTTTTTAAAAGTTGTTTAAGAAGAATCAAAACATGTTAAAAATATAATTAGTTTATCTAGGAGGACAAGGGGATGAGTACCTAGTGGACTACCAGTGTAGTAGCTCTTGGGCAGATACCTTGCTACACTAGTCAGACCAGATGGATTCTAAATGTAGGTAAAATTACGGAAGTTCAGACCTTAGTAAAATAGTGCAGAATAGGTTTAACATTTGAATTGTTCACACAGTTCTTGAAAAAAAAAAAAAAAAAGAAGCATTGATGTTGGATATTCTATGTAAATAAGTTTTAAAATGGTGACATGTGAAATCTTTTGAAATTTCACCTACTGCCTGGTGAACTTTTAAATCTGTTTTAAGAGCTTGTAAAAATTCTAGTAAGTGTGGACACAAATGGATGGGCATTAGAAATTTGGCAAAGTCATCTCAGTAGACATTCCTAGAACAGCAGAAGCAAACTTTAGTTTTAGGTCATGTAAGCATAGTCATCAATTCTACTTAACACAGCCCTAATCTACTGGGAAAACCAATTTTAGGTTTTTTAAAAGAATGACCAAGAACAAAAGCTTCATTATAATCAGTTAAAATCATACAAGTAATATGCTAATTTTGAAGGGAGAAAGAAAATTAACCAAACTATTCCAAACTACTGGCTGAATATCTCTGTGTAGAAAACCAAACAAAAAGTGAAGAGATGCAAATCTCTAAAAATCTCTTCAATTTCCAGGAAACTGGCGACAGAGATAATGTAATAAATCACACTGCTGGAACCCGACCAAGGGCTGTACTTTGCTGCAGCTAAAGAGGGGTTGTCACCAATTAACTGTGATTTGAACACGTCAGGTCACTATCTGCTTTTTCGTTTTTGGTAGGAAGTAAATTTTGGGAAGATGGGAAAACTGATCCTACCATGCAAATGTTGTAGTTACATCTTTGTGTGCCTACTGCTGGTAATGAAAAGACAACATCTGGGACTTTTGGCCTCCAGTGTGGTTAGTCTTCTCCCTCAAGCATTTATAAAAGTTTTGAGGATACAAATGTCAAGGAATTCCTGGCAGAACATCCCAGGCAGGAAACAAGTTGACTGTATGGAGAATAGGTGTAAAAAAACATTCTGATTTTTCACAGGGGTCAAGGGAATCCACTTTGTATATGGGGTAAGCCATCATGGCCATGAAGTATTAGAGAGATTATATGAAAATATTTTTGGTTATGGTTTTCAGAAGGTGGATTATCTGGTGATTTTGTGTACCTGAGTGACACTTTTTTTGAAAGTGCTGACATCTACAAGGGTCAAAATTGCCTTAGATAAATATGAAATTGCCTTTCTTCTGATTTGGTTCAGGCTTGGTAGGTTGCATTTGCAGGCTGTTCTTGTGATTAACCCATTATAATACAAATGGAAGTTCTAGCCAAGGTTAGACTTGTAAAATGTGAAGTTAAAATGGCATGGTCAGAGTAAAAGCAGGCAGTGATTGATTTTGTTTCCTAAAACAGGGGTCTCCTTTTGAAAATTTGGAAGATGCTGAATTAAAGAATTCACCCAAATGATTTGCTGAGAAGGACATGCCTCCATTCCAGATACCTACTCAATCAAGACTGTCTGGAAGTCTTAGGCAAGAAGATTTGCTTTCATCTGATGGAGAAGCTTGAAGTCAATAATATAAATGTCAAACTAAGCTGTTAATACTGAGCTGTGTTTCCAGGGCCAAACCAGTCAGTACCAGGACTGTTGTGCCACATGCATTATGCACATCGCACAAACATTTGGACTGTATCTGAGGCACTTCCACAAAGCCTTCAGCTTATTCCACTGTAGCACACAATCATATTCCCATTTGGTGACCTTCATGCACTAGGTACGTGTTATACAGGTTTTAACAAGTTTCTTCCTGATTTGAGATGCTGACTTCATCTGGCAATTCTTGGTAAGATTCATGAAAGTAAGAAGTAGCACAGGATCCTTTTATGCTGTGTGAAAGGGCAGCTGCTGAGACAGTAACTTCAGGAAAACTACTAGCTGGCCAAAAACATCTGCATTCAGCTCAATATGGTTTGTGTTAATGCACAAGCACAATAAAATAAAGGAAGCATTTTAATAAGTTGCATTTTGTTACTTGGACTTTGCTTTTACAGTTTATTTGGTTACTGAAGTCCTGAATAAAAAGACTGCCTTTATATGGTACTGCTGGATCCCGCTTACAGGAGATGGAGTTACTTTACTGACATGTATTATAGGTATTTTCTGGTTGTGGACTGAGACCTGACATTTGGAATTGTCATAACAATACTTCTCAGGTGCAGAAACACCCTTGTAAGTTCACTTCAGCAAGATTCATTATTTCTACTGTGCCACTATACAGTGTTCTCCTATACCATTAGGTTAATTTTTCAGTCCTGGTATTGACAAGCTATGATTTGCCAGCCCTAAATGTTCCCATGCAGTTCTGTAATGCACTAACATGTGTACATTTGAGAAACAGAGAGCTTCATTGCATCCTCCTGTTAGAGGAATGTAATCTTAGCCGTGCAGAGTGAACTAATAATATGTTCAAATTTTCCCTAACGTCATCTGCAATCAGTGGAAAGACTTCTGCTCGTTTTCACGTGCTTGTAGTTCAAAGCCCCTGGGAATGCCTTTGTCCTTGATACTTCTTTGGCAGGTTTTGTTTGGACTGAAAAATCAGAAGAGTGGAAATGTTTCTATGTTTGAATCCAGCTCTTTTCACATCCTTGGGATGCTTCTGCATGTATTCTCTTAGTTATTTCCTAATAATTACTATGTGCTGCTGTGTGTGCAGGATATGCATTTGCTGTAGTGGCACAAAAAATTGCAATTTTGTACAGCTAAAAAAATAGAAGCAATTGTAGCCCAGATCTTCAAAGGCCATTTTATAACAAGGCTGCAAAGCAATGTGCTCATTTACATTTATATTAGGAAACCACTGGCTTGACTTTGCTTTCAGCATCAAAAGTCTGCCGAAGCAGATGAGACACACAACTTTATAAGGTTGTTTACTTCATTTCAGATTCTTTCACAGTTTATTATTTCTTTGACAGGCTTTCCAGATTATGTTCCACCCCAACTGCATATTTAACATTCAGATCCTACTGCTTGTGCTCTGTAGAGTACGTATCTTTAAACTGCTGCATCTGGACATAGCAAAGGTTCCAGAATCATTGATTATCTCTCTTCTTTTATTTGTGTTTCAGTATCAGACCAATGGTCAGTAACCTAAGACAGTGGCTTTTACTCTCCCTCCATGCTCTGAAGAAAAGGACTGCCAGTGAACATTTGCAAATAGGATTGGAAAATTTAAAATAAAGCCAAAATCAAACAAACCTTACATCTGATTATTTTCTTCCTATGCAGTTGTAAGCAGGCACACCAACTGAGGTGGTTTTAGAAGTCTCTAAAGACTTATGGCACACACCTTGCAGACTTTAGAGGCAGAAAAGCAAGTCCTAGCTCTCATTTCAGAAAGTTTTTTAGTTCCTGCCAAGCTGACTTAAGATAAACTGGAGCAGACCTTTGAAAGCAACTCAGTACCTTGTACACTCTATGGCAAACAGCCACAAAAGTCATTGCTGTTGCAGGAAGCAAATCTCCCACCACTTTTGCAGAACAATGGGCAGGCATTAAAAAAAATGTTAGCAGATGGAGTGGCCTGCTAGGTTGTAGGATGGGTGGGGTTTGAAAAAGGGCCTCCTTGCCAAGATTCAAGAGCAATTCCCTTAATTCTGATGGCCTTTAGTTGGAAATATCGATTTTGCCCCCTGTATTACTAATTGCAGCTGTTTCTGGAAAGACTGCAAAAGAAAATGATAGGAGAAATAAACTGGGTTTGGGGGAAGTCTGAATTCTGCCTTCGCAAGTTTTCCCAGGAAGAAGTAGATCTGTCCCAGGGGCTCAATTATCCGTGCGCTTCACTGTTCTGTCAGTTTCCGTGACTCCCTTTGCTCTGGTTTTGCACAGTAGTTCAGAGAGAAAGAAAGCATCAGCTCCACACTAATTGCACTTCCTCTGACACCAGCAATGCAAATTTTTTCTGACATCCCCCTGAAATCTTATCAGGTCATGCCTGAATGAAATAAAATTAATTAAATTCCTTTGGTATAGCTTTCACTTTAGCTATGTCAGTGTGAAGATTCAAAGGACCCACTTTTTATTTCAAGGGCCATTTACACTTGTTTGGCAAAGAAACTGCAGTGATAAAAATTTATCTTCCATCACACAGTGCAAGTGTGAACAGGAATCAGCCATGCTTCATGAACTAATGAAATAAAATTTCACACATAACAAAACTGTTTCTGGACATAATACTAAGGTATTTTTATATTCATGTAAATAGCATTGCATAGTCTCTGAAAATTTTCATAATATCATACACTATACTACAGAAGAGATTAACTTAACAACAAGTCTATTATTTTCTTCCAAAATGTCCCAGTATTACATCAGTTAAATTGCCTTCCTTGTGTTTATCTCAACAATTTGCTTATTAGCTTTCTGATTCCTTGTTTTTCAGTTTAAATGAAATGATTAGTTAAAAGGTGAAAGGAATATTTTCGATCTAAGTGAAAAGATCAATTAAAATATTTGTCCCTTATGAAATACATATTTATTCAGCAAAAGAATTTAAACAGAGGAACAGTTTCAGTGAGACCTAAATTCTTAAATTATGTTTAAAGCTAAACCGACTTATAAGGGATTTATGGTAGAACAGGTCTGAAGACAAGTACATTTTAAAGCACTTTCATGAATCTTTGTCTTAAATATGTGCCTGAATCCTATGTGCCTACTTCCCTTAGACTCAAGCATGTTGCTTTCTGTGTACACTAAAGAACCTCATCAGAATTCTTCCCAGAAGGCTGTCACCTAAGGAGGGTTATCAAGAACTGCCATGATGAACATCCCATCTAATGACAGATTTATATGGAATTTGGCTTTGAGCATGGTTCTCATCCAGTCAGCAACAGTTGTCTTCTAGGGACAAACGGAAATTCCCTCCCAAATGTACTTCCCATTCAGTAGATCTGAGAAATAAATCCTTTTTATTTAAAAGTCTATTTATTTCTTAACAGGGATGGATAGATTCATACTGACCTCAGTAATCTGGTTTAATAACATAAGCCTACTGAACTGTCAGGAGTCAAACACTCCCCCATTTTCTATATCCAGGGGTGCCCACATAGGACTGCTAGCAATCTCTGGGTATTTCTCTCAATAGAACAGAACTGTCTGACCAATGTAATATTGGAAAGATCAATCTCCAAGATTTGCATAGTTCTTGTTTCCTTGAAACACTGCAGTCTAAAGTGTTACAAATACATATGCCTGTATGTATATATGTGTATATATATGTATCTGATCTGTACAAGACAGATCTGTTTACTTATAATACACAGATTTTTCTGGTTCCATTTTTGTGCCACAGAACTATTTCTAAGCATCTTGTATGGATATAGTAGACCTGAAGAAGGATTTAATGGTTCAAGTATTTTTCAAATGCTCCTTACAGGAAATCTGAACTGAAATATGGCTTTAAAACATTCTTAATTCTAGTCTCTTCTAAGGTCTTTTCTCAACATTCTGATGCTACATGTATGAGTTTCTACCAAACTAGTAGGATAAAATGGTTTATTGAGCTTCAGAATATACCAGTCAAGATCAGAAAATTAACAAAATAGCACCTTAGTCTAATGTAATTTCTCCCTGTAAATATTAAGAGGCCAAATCTGATTTAGTGGTCAGTGGTTTGAAGAGACATTTATGACTTGATATGCCAAACCCCAGGAGCTGAAGAGGTCAGAATAATATTACCTGATACAAATGGGAGTAGTAGTATGTGTATAAGCAGTGCAGTTCTCCAGCCTGCAGTTGGGATCAAACTGTACAGCACAGAGGAATTTCTGGGCAGATGGATCTGCTAGTTAGAGAGGCGGAATCCTAAACTCAGAACTCCTAACTAACTCTATTCTGCCAGTTCCACAGGCAAAGCCTTTAGAATTGTCCACTCATATTCCATCAGCCACAACAGAAAAGCTTGTACTGTAGTAGTATTAATCTTTGTAAACGTGTTCAGATGTTTAAAAGCATCTTTTGTCACCTGAAAATTCCCCAGGCAACTTCAGAGCGAGCATGTGATGGGCATTTCCATAACACCTCACACCCACATTGCACCCTCAAATAAGGATCAGAGCTTTAAGCTGGTGTGCTTCCATTCCATACAGTCTGACTGGAACTCCATTTCTAAGCAAACATTCCAAAGCATATTTTATTACACTTCTGTTAAAACATTTCAAATTTAAATGACAACAAAAAGAAAACATTTATTGCTGTAATACATAATAACAAGTGGATATTATTATTTTTAAGTACTTTAAAAACCCTAAGAACTAAAATAGTTTGATGATTACAGAGATGTTAGTATGTGATTATACAGTGTTTTAATCTATATCCATTTTATACACAAAATAAAGTTCATGAAACAGTAAGCAGCAACTCTGCTATGCATGTGTATTAGCTACAGTTAGCAGCCTGATCCAGAAAATGCTGAGCACCCTCATACTTTGACCAGTCAGTGTGAGAAGATGGTCAGCAGCCTTCTAGGATGGGGCCCAAATGATGCACTGGAAGGAGTATGTGATGGCAATGACAATATTTTAATGGTCATTTTCTTATGGAATCTCTAACAAAATACATTTTCATAGTCATTGATAAGCACCAGCTCACAACACTGCATGTGGCTGCATCACTTGCACATTACATTTCCTGACAAACTGCATATACAATACATCTAGAATTCTCAGTATAGAGAGAACTGTAGCACTTACAAATTACCACAGGGAAAATACAGTTTATAGTAGCATTTCCAACAGTGACATTGCAACATTACTTTAGCGATTATGTTCCTTATGCAAAGGAGAAATAAAAAGTAGTCAGTGACATACTTCCTGAAATTTTAATACTGGCTTTCAGGTGTTAACAATCTAAAGTGCTTTCATGTTTCATACTGTTTTAAAAATTTTCAATTTATACCAAAAAAAAAATTCCAAATATTTATAAATTTATTTTATACATTTGTGAATGTACAACTTAGTCTATTCCTGTTTCCTCACCAAAAAAATTGGCATTGCCATCTCCCAAATCTCTCTTTTGAAACCAAGTCTGTGAGTTTGTTCCTTGAATATAAGCATCCAGAAAATAGCAAATTCCAGGGATATCACTTGGAAAATTTGGTGGAAGCTCCTCTCTTGAGCGTGGTGTGAACACAAAACCTGGGTATTCCTTTAACAACCTAAAACAAAAATTAAACATATCAATTAAAAATCCATCAGTCACTAAGAACTGCAGATATTCAATAATTCTTCATGTATGGCAGGGAGAATCCAACTTAATTTTTATAGTTATTTACTGGAAATATAAAAAAATAATGTTTACGTGGTAACCTTGACAACCTATTAACTTGTGCATCAATGCAAATAACAGTATCTCTTCTTTTTTTATCTTGTCAATGTTTTGCATGTAGTTGCTATGTTTGTTGTAAATATTTTCAAAAATTATTTAATGCTGAAAGCTAACTCACATCCATCCACATATCAAATGCATCCTAATTAGTATTTCAAAGAAGGGAATACTGTGAACATTATTAATTAAACTATTCAGACCCTCTTATCAATTCTAATATTATTTGGTTTTTCACAGGTTGAAACTGAGACTGCTAGTCTGTAGGGATAAATGTTGATAACTCTTGCCAAAGCTTTCAAACAATTTGCAACATACAGGAGTTGTGCAATATGCCAAAATGTTATCAATATGTGTTTAGAATTGGTGAATGAATCAAAATTTTTAAGAAAACCACCAAAGAAAAAGCAGGTTAACACCTCATACACTCAGGAAAAAAAAAACAAAAAAAAAAACAAACCAAAAACAAGTCCACAACAACTATAGTTTACCTATTAATCAAATTGCCTATTTTCTAGGGGTATGATTCAAAATGATTTTCCATATGAGTGGAATGGAAAAACAATGAGTTGGCCAGCACTGCTTATGTTGACATAAGCACTGGTGATGCTAATGCTCTCTCTGTGTTTTAAGAGTGCATGATCAAAAGGGTTACTTTCTCTGTGCTCTAACACCTGTGCTACTTTTTCTAAATCACCTACCCAAGATCATCTAAAGCTTGGCACCATCTATGTCACATAACACATGCTGCAGGGGATGTCAGGAAGGATCCTGTGCCAAATTCTCTGTCTGATGCTGGATGAAGAACCTTGCCACAAGGCATTATCAGATATGTGGCAGTGGGTACAAGCTGAGTAGGAACCACAGACCACAGTCCAGGCTACAGTGACGGTACCAGAACTCCCTTAAAAAGCAATAATAATTTTGCTTATTTTACCCAGGCAAAAAAAAAAAAAAAAAAACTAAAAAAACCCCCAAAAAACCCAAAAACAAAACAGGAAGATAACAGACTACTACAGTAACTACTGCAGGTCGACATTTTACAGACTGCACTGTACCTGTAAGTTGTTGGGCTGACATTTATTTTTCTAGGTATACTGCAAGATTCAAACTTATTGGCAAGGGTCACATTATTTCCAAAAAGGCAATAACGAGGCATTTTAACCCCAACAACTCCAGCAAAGACAGATCCAGAATGAAGGCCAATACGCATCTTTAAACAAAAGAAAGAAAACAGCACTATTAGGTAAAATAGAATTGGTAAGGTCAATTTTATAAATTATTCTTAATTTTTAAAAAAAGAAAGAAAGAATGAGCTACTAAAATAAACAGGGTTAGTAGAGTCTCCTTGAAATAGCTGTACTCTGGTCATTACTGCTCATGGAGAGGGAACTAGCTGATGTTTATCTTGTGCTGCATTTTTAGTCAATAATCCTACCATATCAAAATATGACTGTGAACTGCTGTGAACATAGCTCATACTCAGATTTTCAACTCTTACTTAACTGCTGCTGCTTTCCATGGTTCTTTTTGGTGGGGTGTTTTTTTGAGCTGTGTTCTTTTTCTCATGCGCATTATACATAGGTAGAGGTGTTTTCTTCAGAACAGCATTCTGACTAAATAATGGCATGATGTCAGAAAGCTTGTACGTCTACTCTGCATACTACTCTTTACATATCAAGAGAGTATCATACCATTATGAAGAAGTTGCAGACTCTAACTTTGAGTGTAAAAGCATAAAAACTTGCAACAAAACCAAAATCCTGAAATATGTTCATCAAAATGCAAGTCTGATTCAAAGTATGCCATTTGCAGTCACACCTTTTTTTCTTGGCAATTGATATGTACAATGACAGTAGATTGTGTGACAAATTTATTGCTTTCCACAATAGTCAATGTTTTCATGAAGCATTTAATTAAAACAGATGCATGCTTTCATTAAAAACAGATAGTTTCCTTCTAAGAAGCTTCTGTTAGGTACTTACACAATATTACATTTTATCCTTATTTTAAAATAGTTTAAAAAATGTAGTAGTAGTATTTGCATGTAAATTATACACCTGTTATAATATTGCCAGGATGTTTCCAGATTTTTTAAGTGTACCTTAATTTGATACTGCAAAATGCAAAAAGAACAACATTTATTTATAATACAATACTGTTGTTCTGTGTGATAAATGTGGAACATATAATCCTCTTAATAGCCATTTTCTTTTTCTTGGAATACAAGTATTCCTTGATCTAAAATTAAAAAAACCCAAAACCATTAAGCTTTCTGGAGGAACAAATGAACAGATAAATGTTAAAAATTAACAAATGAAAGACATAATTAACGGAGACACCTCTATTAAAAATAACAGGATGCCATTCCAGGCCATTTGAACTACATTGAAGGTCCACATCATTTTTCATGCACACAAGCCTTTCTTCTTCTTTCTCAGTAAGAGATAATCCTATATGAAAATTTCAGTACATGTGTAAGTTCTCACTGAAAGAAAGCCATAAATATAATTACCACTGAATTTAACAGTTGCTTTGACAGCACTAACACCATTATCTTATGGTGGTTCAGTATCTGACTGTGAAACAAGAACAGCAATGGAATCCTCTAAAGATGTGTGGATTACTACAATCAGAACGTCTTTGGGCATTCATATTCATAGCTTCTGCGTCAAAGGACTTGGAAGTCTAATTTGGAAAGAGGATTAGTCATTTCCTTAGAAAAGAGAATATTCCATGCCACTGACAGTTTTATTGCTACTGAGACAAGAACTGCAGCACGTCAGATTGCATCTATTGACTTCACTGCCTTTGTCTTTTGGGTTGATTTTCAGATCTCTATTTCACTTTTACCACTCCATGAAACTCTCACCATCAGATCTAAAAAGGTCAGCTTCTCCAGCCACAGTCACTTGATTCCCCAAATTCTCTATGTTAATGCAATGATGTGAAATTTCCTTGAGACAAAATCCCAGAAAGCAACTAAAAAACAAACAAAAAAGCTCAGTTTAACCAAATAAAATACAATAAAATATATGACCTTGATAGGTTCTCCATGGGGAGACACCACCTCATCTGACAGTTCCATCATCTTCAGGGCCATCAGTGCTATTTGAACAGCATGTGTTTCACTTTCTTTGTGTAAGCCTCCAGCAACACAGTAGGCATCTCCAATAGTCTCAACCTAAAACAAGCATATTTGTTCCTTAGACTGTTTGATAAACATAAAAAACTGCCTAACTTCAGTAAGAATATTACCTACATTCAATTCTTGGCTAAGTTTTAGTTTTCCTGCAAAATTAAGTACTGGACAAATCCTGCAGTATCATGTAAAAGGAAAAATTCCACAACTTTTATTTATTGCTGGGCATAATTCTAAAATAGTTTTCCGTTTTCATTTACAGTCAGGCATCCCCAGCTACATTAAACACCTGTTTACTCCAGAGTCACAGCAGTGTCATTGAAATTAATTTTTAAAATTAACTGTTAAGTTTTGATGGGTTTCTTTCTTGGCTGAGTGAACAGCTGTTTGTGTTCACTTTTTTGTTTGTTTGTTTTGTGATTTATTTTGTCTTTCATTTAAAAAAAGTTTATGGCAAAATAATTTTTGGGCCTCTATTATCTTCTGTCCCACTTAGTCTTAATTTCCTTTTCTGCCCCAGAATCCCAGAGAAAAGCAATGAATTGTGTACCTTGTAGACATCTAGCTCTCCACATTGGTAATCAAAGCGAGTATAAAGCTCATTAAGCATGGTGATAACCTGCATAGGTGAGCATTGGGAACAGATGGCAGTGAATCCAACAATGTCAGAAAAAAGCATTGTGACATTATTAAATTTCTTGGCTTGTACAACTTGTCCCTGCCACAGCTGCTGAGCAACCTCTCCAGGAAAAATTGAAAACAGAAGATCTACAGTCTTCTTCTTCTCTTCTTCAAGTGCTTGATGGGCCTGCTCAAGGGTTGCTTTTAGCTTTCCTAACCTCTTCTTCAGTCCATCCTGGGCTCTGGCCTGCTCTCCTATCAGAACAACATCTCTTAAAGCATTGTGAATGGGAATATCAGAGAGGTACAATCCACGTCCTGTAAAATCTTCTAGCCTGTCCACACAGGGAGATCCCAAGAAGAGAATGGCACTGGATTCAAAAATATAGATCATTTGGCCTTTAAGATCCATTACCTGAAACAGTTAAAGAAACAAGAATTCATGCAAAACATGCATGGCAATGGTCTAGAAGCAAGAAATTTTAGAGAAAATACATTTTGTTAAAATGTAAGAAAATCAAGGCTGGTCCACAGTCCTTACATTTTCATTCAGTTGCTTAGAGAAAACATGGGGTGCTGAATCACAGAGCCATCAAGTAAGTTCATTTTTATTCTGGTACAAGAGGACCCCAACTTAAGGATAAACACCTAACTATGTCTGAGTATCAGTTTATCTTAGGAAGAAAAGAAAACTGAAAAGAATAATTTTGTGTATTATCAGCAGTTGATAAAATGTGTTACTACAGTGGCCTCTGAATTTCTACTAATAACTAGTTCATGCACCACTTTCTCCATAAGATAAAGTGAGAAAATCTGCTTCAGTTTTATCATAGGATGTTCAGTACTCACTGAAATTTAAAATTAAAGGCAGAAATTGCAGGAATATCCAATTTTAATAGTCTATAAAAGAAAAATATTTTGTGTGAAGTGTTTTTACATCCCTTTTGTAGTCAGTTGTGCAATGTGAAAGATGCTGCAGAGCTTAGCTTAACATGGCTCTGAAAGACCACTTTTTAAATAAAATCTGTTCTTTACTAATAGACATTTGCATATGCAAGTACCTACAAAATCAAACCTGACTCTACTACCCTTGTAACCATTGTAGTGCAGAAATGGATCTGAGATGAAGTAGCTACAGCTTTTAATAGTAGCTACATTAGCAACTGGGTAAAAGTTCTTAACTGTTCCTCATTGAAGTTTTTGGAGTGTTGAGTCTGAGCTGGTAATTCATCCTGGAGTGCCTCAGGTGTATATAAACTGGAATGTATATAAACTGGGACCAGGAATTACTAAAAACGGCCATTGCATGTTCAATGTTTTTTACTGTCCCAGGTCATTTGTCACAGACCCAGCTTCAGCAAAGATAGTTGTAATCCCATCAGATGAAACTAAGTGGAACCTCTGGTGATTGTATCTGATGAAAACATCAGAGTATCAAAGATACCAAAACACCAAAGGCTGAATGAGCACAGAAAACACCTTTTTATTTTCCCCAAACTTAGAGCTGTTCCCAAATAACTCAGGAGCACTTTGTTAAAGCTTTTCCTGCCACTGTCTTTGTGCTGAAGATGTCCTTATTCTCAGCAGCATGGCATATCACTGGCTTTATGTCAGTATTTCAAATTATTAAAATGAATCAAATTTGCAATCAGATTTTACTTCTGTGTAAGTCCTAAAGCAGTTTTGACTGAACATTGGCTTAAGAATCTGAATAACATTTGACTACCCTAATTAAATCATTATTATACAGTTGTATCAGATGTAGAGAATGCAAAATGCACCATGTTTTGTGGCTATTTTAAGTCCATCTGATGAAAACAAATTCTTTGTAGAAGTAATGGTGATTAAAAGTCTCTTACCATGGATGGCTTCATATCAGTATTATCCCATCTTCTAACTCGTACAGTAAACTGCATATTTAGCATGGTCATTATTGCACTAAAAGTGCAGCTTACTTTGGGGGTAAGAATTTCGAAATACTCTTCAAAATTTGGCTTAGCTTGAAATTCTCTCCTGGTCAAAAGTCTTCTTATCCCATTTCCAATTTGAAGAACTGACATATCCTTGTCAAACATAAAATGAAATGGGAAAGTCTTACAGAACACAGAGGCAGGAATCACAAGTGAAGACTGTGGTTTACACGGAGATAAGGAAGGTTTTGCACTTTTGACTTGTATAGAATACAGCAAATAAGGCTGATTAGCAAACTCAGTGCAGTCATTATGGAAACAAGGAGGCATGAGCATCACTTCCACCTCAGTTTCATACAAAATATGAGCTGCTGCTTTAATGATACCAGGTAGAATAAGACTTGTGATTTTCTTAGGAAAGAAATAATAAACATTTAAGAAGTCCTGATCTTTCTCCAGGCATAATATGGAGGCATCTTCAAGTCTGTCCTTTTTTCCTGCTTCTTGGCTGTGACTACTCTGCTTCAGCAGAGTAGTGAAACTATTCAAGAAGTCCTTAAGGGTGCCTCCAATAACCCCTAATATGTGTTCATCCTCTTCATAGCATATTTTGAATAGCTCTTCACCAAGAGATTCCTGTAGTGACTCCACGGGAACACCTGCACAGAACCACATTTTAGTCAGAACTGCACTCATCATCCTGAATCACAGGCTAACCTCCACATTTTTTTCTAAAACAAACAATCAGTATCCTGCCCTGATACAGCATTGACACCTGAAAGGATTCTCATTTGGGAGTCTTGGAAACAAAGCCTGGAAATGGGGGGACAATTGGTTGTGGTTTAGAAAGATGCAAGATTCAGTGTTCTTTGTAGAGATGTAGAAAAAATGGATGCAAGTTTTGGCACAAGATTTAACTCAACTCCCTTAGTTTGATCTAAAGGAGTAAAATGAGAAATTTAAAAACTAACATACAAATAGCATGGGATCTGCAGATATAAGTAGTATGTGTGGTCCAGTACATCAAATGACCCTGGGAATATTCTGGAGCACTGAGGCCAATTGGCACTGAATGGTTCATATCATTGCTAGCAAATTTGTTTTATCCAGATAGCTGCATGCAAACTGACTGTTGGAAATGTTCCATTTATCAAACTGTTACTGGGAATCCTTTGAAAAAGTATTGTCTCTCACAGACCAGCTGTATGCCTGGACCAGTTTAACAGTTTAAGTGTACAGAAGACCATATTGCAGCTTCAGGAAATGTTAATTTAGTATTACAGATGTAGCCAGAGTTACATATTACAGAGTTCTCTTCTGAGACACAGTCCTCAGAATATGAAGTAACATATTAGTAACAAGACAAATTTCTAAAAAATATGTTATTATATATACATACAGAATAGATACTCTTTTATTTATATATATTATTAAACAAGCTTAAATTACCTGCAGCATTAGCATGATCACTGATTATTTTTTCAAAATCTTCTCTATCACCAGTTTTTCTGCAAAGATCATAAAAATATAATAAAACCCCTAAATTATCAAGATAAATGTGGCAAACACAGTAAGTACAGAAGTTACCTTGTCTTCAAACCCTGTTCTTAAACCTTGTCTTTTGACCCTGTTCTGCTGATCAAATAGGGAGTTCTTAATTAATTCAAAAGGGGGTCTTGGTAGGATCTTAGATTATCCTATGCATTTCTGGTAACTTACAAGTTTTGGTGGTCTGAGCTCAGATTATGGATTTCAGTCAAATGCTATTGCCTTTCATTGTAACAGTCCTGGTTTTTTGTTTGGTTTGTGTTTTTTTCTTGAAGCCAAAACTACATTTCCTAACATATTGTAAAATATAATTGGAATTTATATTCAAACATTTTTGGAATTACAGTACATTTAATTCAAAAGAGGTCAGCATGTATTTCTGCTTCGAGAGTAAAAACAAATAACAACTAATAACTACAAAATTACTTGTTCTTTGGTAGTAATGTAGATATTTGACACAAAACTGCAGCCCTCTGAGTTCTCTGAGGACCATAAATGTCAAACTGAATGTTTGACTCCAAGTTATGAGAACAACATAGCTTAGATTCATCTTCATATAAGCAATAAACTCCTGATACATGCCTTCTGAATTTCTTCACTGGGAATATCATAGGTATATTTATAGGCAAAAGCAACACAGACATTTAGATTTGTTTTACATTGGCATTATTGCCTCCTTCAGAATATCACAGTAATTTTTTCTTTACAACTGATACTCCAGGGAAGCAACACATAATTAAAGAATGGGAAAACATTCATAGCAATAAGCCAGTCAGCAACTGCAAAGCACATCTGACCCACTATCTTTGGTTCAGCCAATGTATGTAAAGTGCTTTAAAAATATCAAGTATCATTTAAAAGATACTCAGCAATTATCTATTCTTATCATGGTGAGCAAGAGTGTAGTTTCCAACTTGATTATTTTTCTTCACTTCAGAAAGCAGATTTAAGCTGATGGGCTTATTTTTTCAGATGCATTCAATAAACTGAATCCTCAGTGTATCATGAGATGCAAAGGAATTCTAACTCCCTACAAGGCTCAAACTATTAATATTCGATTAGTACTAAGAAGTGCTGAAAATTGAGCTGAGTTCCTCAGAAACAGAAACCAGAAGCCAAATGAGCTCAGGAAAACATCCAAGTCAGTATCTGTAGTATATGAGTGTTCAATGTATCAGAAACCAAATTCTTTTGTATACTACTGATTGTATTTCAGACTCTTTCCCCAGGATCTTAGAAACACTGGGCTAGATCCATATACAACCATATCTATTGTTTCATCTATGCCAAGCAGTCTCCAAGCTCCTCCAAAGACCTTGCCTGCTTTGAATCTCTGTACAATTTGCCCATTAAGTCAACTTTGTGAGTGATGTAAATATTTGTGAATATTTTCAAATAAACTAAATCATTACTAGCTTACATTACATGAAAGGTTACACACCAATTTGACAAGATAATTGAATATAAATTTCAGATGTCTTGATTCCTGGTCACCACCACATTTCTCTATGAAAAACATTATTGCAGTGAAGTTAGTTACAAACCCATTAGTTACAAACACTTACATACCTGGTTTCTTTTATTCTGTGTTTTGCAAGTGTTCTCTGCAGTGCAAGATTTAGCCTTTCAAACTGGGGAAAAAAATAAGTATGTCATATGTATCTATCTCACTGATGAAAATTTAATCATGAGGTAACATTTCTATACACAGAATTTCTTTGCTATCCTAGGGACTAACAATTTTTTTCCAAGACAGTATTGTTGTTAGAAGCAGCATGTCACTTCTGTGGTTATGGGGTTTACTTCATGTTCATCTCTTCAGCTCCAGTACTACTGAAATTAATACCCACAGTCCATGTGCACCAGTGGTAGTGTATTTTAAAAACAGTGATGTTCTTCAGCTCCAAGCTTTCAGATGGCAATAAAGACAGTGCTGCTAAGAAATAAGCATAACTAACACAGCTCTCTATTATTACAAATCCCACCCCCCAAAAAAACACTAAGTACCATGAACAGAAAATTATTTAAATAATTTCGCTGTGTATGCCAGATGAAAATCTAGTCATTGTAGACAGCCTTTAAGAAAGGATTCTCTAATAAAAGAAACTTTAGAGCATAACGAATATTTGCCTTAAAATACTTCAATCCCATGATTCCACATCCCTTCTGCAGTTCCTAATTGGAACAGATGGAACATTTTCCAAATATGTGTATTTCAAATTGTTAGGGCCAGTAAAGCTGTCATATGTATGTAGTCTCTGATATTCAATGCCCAAACTTCCCACACAGACAGGGTCATATACTGCCATGACAGAATTCGGCTGTGAGGCTTCCTGTGGCCTGGCATTACTTTGGTCCTCATTCCCTGAAGAAAGCAGGGAATGAGGCAGCTTTTACTGCATCTTTTACTGCATCTTAGATGCAGATTTTACTGCATCTTTTACTTTTTGTATTTCCAGGAGGAAAGTCTGCACAACCAAAGAAAATATCACATGAAAGAAAGGCACATTCTGGAAATGTTTTCCAAGAAAAAAATCTAAAGTGAATTAGATACATATATACATATATACATATATACATATGGTGAGTATACACCATATATCATGTATATGAACACAACATAAATTACATCTGTGTAGAAACTGATACAGTAAGTGAATTGCCATTCAATCCATTACTTACAAATGAGCAATGTTCTCCATATTTCTGTAAAGAAAGAAGCAAGTTGAACAACAACATGCACTACATTATATCCCAAATTTAATCAAAAAGTGGTCTGGAAGCACTTTGTCCTGGACTTCCAAGCATAGCTTGCTGTCTCCATGAGAAGTTCACAGTTCCATAGGGGTCATGATGCAGCCCTGTTTTGAAGCTTCCAGTTGGAAGGAAGATGATGTCACTCAATGACATTTAAGTAAGGTAAATGTTCTAAGCAATGAAAAATATGTTTCTAACAAGCAAAGCTCTTTTATGGAAAAATAGGATTAGGAAGATGCTTAGGGCTTGATCCCAAATCAGCATGAGAACAGACTTGAACAAAGTTGTGATGCATATGAGTTGAATAAATATAAATAGTAAGAACGACAACCTTGAATTTCAGTGGTTCCTAGGGTACATGGTCATAATATCTTCTCATTACCAAGCTTTGTCCCAGATGATGGACTAGCCTATCATAATTATGTAATAGGCAACTGCATACATTTATACCACTCTTTAAAGGGGGAAAAAATACCAGTTATTAAAAATCCCACAAACAACTGTATACTAGAAAAGCAATACAGCAATCCTGGCATCCTGGAAAGGGTGCTTTGCCAGTTCATTTTTGGGTTGCAAGTCTTTTCCTTTATATATTTAGAGATCAGTTTAAAGGGATGCATTCTGTCTGTATAAATGCAGCAGAGGTAAAAAGATCTGCATAATCAGATCTGCAAATAGATTTAACAAAACTCCAGCACTTTAAGTAAGGTACACTGAATGTCCAAGTAATGGAATTGCAATTAAATGAGTGTACAGAATTGTCCATTTGCTATTTGTAGTCCCAATATGTCAGTTAGTTCTTTCAAACCTCCCACTGAATTTGAGACAAGGCCAAGAGCTGGATATTAGAGAGCTCCATTTTTCATGTTCTTTTTACAAAGATAAACCATGGTATTCATCTGCACTCAAGCAAGCCTGGGTGTGTTTTCAGTTAAGTTGAGCAGAGACATAAGAATATCTTTGCGGTAAATACGAACAGTAATGGTTTTTAAAATAGTATGACAGGAGGTTAGTATCACAGCAGATGGAAACATCTATTTTAATTTTTTTGTGATAATGATTAATGCACTTAGCAGTTTGGATTCAGTTAGGTGTACTGATGAGATGACCACATAATTTACACAATTAGGTAACAAGGCAGAATTTCTATTACTATATCTCTATGTTAAAAAAAATGGTACAAAAAAGGATGGATTTAAAAAGAACAATTAAAAAGATCAGTGGAAGGTTGCAAATACAAGGCAAAAGTAAGGGAAATACAGTGGAAGGAATGGTGTGTACAACACAGATTGTGGCAAAATTATGTCCAGAAGGAATGAAAGTGGATTTAAACTAGGGAGAACTACATAAGAACACAAACTTTTAAGTCAAAGCAATTTTATAAGGGCTTATATCTAAAGGCAGGCATAGAGTGCTTTTTTAACGTTTATAGTTAAATGCTATTAAAGTTTTACTTAGCATCTACTTACCTCAGGAAAGATTAGTTTGCAGATGCTTTCAGTTAGTGTGTGCAGGTACACTCTACTTCTGCTCGTTTTCCTTTGTGGAAGGTTTCCTTGACCATCTTTTTCATGGACTTCTTTGCAGATGGGCAAAGCTGCTCTAGAGCTGTTTTCTGTGCAGTCCTTGTCATGTTCCTCAGTAATGTGACCTTGGGTCAGTAAGGAGAAAGGACATTCTCCTGTGATCTTCAAGTCTTTCAATTTTGTACAGAACATACTGTACAAAGTCTCTCTCTTGAGATTAGGAGTACTTAGCTTGATGTTTACTAACAAGAGCAGAAGATGCCAGAATAATAAGGTGATAACGCAACCACTGTGGAAGGTTATTGGTAGCTATAAATCACCACAGAAAAAATTTTCTGCCCCTACAAAACAAGAAAGAAAAAAAAGAATTACAAACATTTATTTTCTCTTTTAAATTCCCATGATGTGTCAGTTTTATCTTAAGCACATTAAAATAATTGCTTTTTGAAGACTTAGCTCAGGAAAGCATTTACTCTTGCCCCATTTTAAGCATGTAATATCTACTGACTTCAGTGCTTCAGGCAACTCAAGCTCTATGGTTAAGTTTTATATGAGCTGGGACTCAAGTGATTAAGGCAGAGGACTTGTCTTACCCAAAACATATTTGGTCACATTGATGGACGAGGTTTCTGAAAGAGTGGAATTCCAATGAGGAAATCTTTTTGATTCTTTATAAGTAGCTATTAAAAACTATCTCATATGGCACAATGAAACAGATCAGTTATGAATACTTAAATCTAAATTTACTTATATCCAATATATCCTTTATGTAACAGAGAAACATATGACTTAAGTCAGTGTGTGTACTTCTTAAACAGTAAACTATCCAAGACCAAAGGTTAGAGTCTCTTGTAAAAACAACTGACTGGTGACAACTCACATCTTGGGAATTTGACCACACAACTGCAGTTGCTTGGAAACACTAAGGGATTTTTATGCTTTTGAAGGTGGTATTTTCCAAACAACACATTAAACTTTTAATTTTAATAATGGTTCCATTTGTTACAGGGCCAAAGCCCAGCTAGAACTTAATCTGACTATTGCTGTAAAACACAAAAATGTTTTTACAAATACGTCAGCAACAAAAGGCGGGCTAAGGAGAATCTCCATCCTTTACTGGATGCAGGAGGATACATAGTGGCAATGGATGAGGAAAAGGCTGAGGAACTCAGTGCCTTCTTTGCCTCAGTCTTTAATAATGAGAACAGTTGCTCTCAGGACACCAAGACCTTGTGCTGGAAGACAAGAGAGAGAGAAGAATGATGCTCCTATATTCCAGGAGAAAATGGTCAGTGATCAGCTACAGAATTTACGATACACAAGGCCATGGGGCCGGATGGGATTCACCCAAGGGTCTAAAGGCAACCGGCAGAAGAGCTCAACAAATCATCTTCCATTATTTACCAGCAGTCTTGGCTAATTGGGCAGGTCCCAGCTGACAGGAGGTCACGTAAGATAACACATCCACAAGAAGTCAGAGGGAGGATACCACCTGACAGCCTGACTTCAGTCAAGCTCAGTAAGCCAGGGAAGGTCATGGAGCAGATCATCTTGAGTAGCATCACACATGCAGGACAACCAGGGGATCAGGCGCAGCCAGCATGGGTTTAGGCACTGCCCGACAAGTCTGGTCTCCTTCTATGACAAGGTGACCTGCTTAGTGAATGAAGGAAAAAGGTAAAGTCTACCCACACTCAATTAAAGCCTTTGACACTATTTCCCACAACATTCTGGAGAAACTGGCTGCTCATGGCTTTCACAAACATACCCTTTGCCAAACAAAGAACTGGCTGGATGACCAAGCCCAGAAATTACTGGTGAATGGAGTTACATCTAGTTGGCAGCAAGTCACCTAGTGGGGCTCCCAAGGGCTCAGTATTGGGGCCAGACCTGGTTAATGTTTTTATCAATGACCTGGACAAGGGAATTGAGTGAACCCTCAGTCAGTCTGCAGGCAGCATGAAGATGAGCGGGAATGTTGATCTGCTGCAGAGGCATCTGGACAGGATGGATCTATGTACTGAGGCCAATCATATGAGGTTCAACAAGCAAAGTGATTGTTCCTGCCCTGGGGTCACAACAGCCCCATGCAGTGCTACAGGCTGAGGGAGAGTGACTGGAAAATTGCCTGTCAGAAAAGGATCAGGTGCTGGGGGTGCTGGTCAGCAGCAGTTGAACATGAGCCAGTGCATGCCCAGGTGGCCAAGAAGGCCAGTGGCATCCTGGCCTGGGTCAGCAATGGTGTGGCCAGCAGGAGCAGGGCAGTGACTGTCCCTCGGCACTGGTGAGATCACACCTTGAAACCTGTGTCCAGTTTTGGGACCCTCAGTAAAAGGACAGAAGAAGGTGCTGGAGCATGTCCAGAGAAGGGCAATGGAGCTGGGGAAGGATCTGGGGTACAAGTTTTATGAGGAATGCCTGGGGAAGCTGAGAGTGTTTATCCTGAAGAAAAGGATGCTCAGCCAAGACCTTACTGCTTCTAAAAGGAGGCTGTAGCAAGTTGTCAGGTAACAAGTGTAAAAATGAGAAGAACCAGCCTCCAGTTTTAACAAGGGAGGTTTAGACTAGATATTAAGAAACATTTCTTCAAAGAAAGGGTGCTCAAAAATTGGAACAGGCTGCACAGGGAATCAGTAGAATCATCACCCTTGGAGATATTTAAAAGACGTGTAGATGTGGCACTTAGGGACACGGTATAGTAAAGATTTATTTCAGTTAGATAGTCTGAAAAAGTCTTTTTCTTTTATTTTCTATTGACTGTATCTCATTGAATCAGATCCTCTCATCCTCATATAACAGTCTTTAAAAATAATCCTCGAGAGCTTTTGGTGACTCTGGAAGCAGCTAAGTATTACATTTTTCTCTCTGGAGATACAACAAATACTTCTCTCAAAGGCACTACAGCTTTAATAAGCCTGTGCACTACACCATTTGTTTCTGCCCCTAAGACACCCTAAGGGCATTTGGGGTCACACTGCAACTGTATCAGGGTTAAAAATAACTAATTCCCTGATACAGGTTATCAGCTGCTGCTTTTGAAACAGCTGGAGTGAATGGCACAGCAGAGGAATGCTGCAGACACAGCACAAATGGCATGGATAAAAGGAGAAATAGGCAAGAACTACTTTGATTGGACCTGCTGCTGAGAAAAATATTTGGCAGAAAAGCCCCTTCTAAAGTATGCTGTAATACTGATGGTGTCAGGTCAGGCTCTAGGGGACATCTATCAAAATTAACGACTTATTTTAAGAATCAATAAACACAATGCTAAGAACAAGAGGCTGAAGAATGTTTACATAGCATTTTATATTTCTGATTTCAGTTTTTACACAGAAACTCATTTGTTTCTGCTGCATGGACATCAGCAATACTTCATTTTTTTATTGCTGAATAACACTGGATAGCAAATAAGGCAATGAAAAATTTAAAGCAAGAACCATACTTCAAATACATAAATATACATTATACTGTAAGCATTGTTATATATACATAGATAGACATTTTTATTCAGAAGCCATTACATACCCAATATTACTACACTAAAAAAGAAAAGCAGAAAAGATATGCATATTTTCTGCAGTTGGACTGATGTGTGTACTGAAGTTAAACACACATATATACATGCACAATTGTCAAACCTAAAAAAATTATGGCTTTGGTGGATCTTACATTTATATTCACATGCTTTGCTGGATTTATGCCTTAAATTTCAAGATAAATTCTGAATTAATAAAATAACTACTAAAATTTCTTAAGTATATCAGCAGTTTGAAAGGGAAAAAAGACTCTGCAATATATTTTTGTAAAAGAATGTAGAATTAAACATTCTAAACATCTCCCAGGGAATGCAACACTGCAAATGCATATGCTGCTATTTAAACAGACTTAAGAAAAAGTTTCTCAGTGAAGAATGTAAGAGTGAATTAATGGCTAAATTAGTCAGTAACAAATATGTACTGCATTTGCACTAACCTAAGAACAAAGAAAGTGAATGACCTTCATCAATTACCAATGAGTTTTTAGTCTCTGGATTTTTTTTTCCTGCTGATTATTTCTCCGTTTATAGAAAACAATAATCTGGAAGTATCTGGGGTTCGCTTCCATGCTAGCATATTGTATTTTAACTAAATCACGTTTATTGTTATAGGAAAAATATCCAGGCAGGTAGAATCAGTTCAGAAAAGGAAGTGATGCCATTGTTTTACAACTGAAAAGTCTCCAGAAGCTGCCAAGTGGGAAAAAGAGGTCCCAGAAGATGGTGATGGAACAAGACTTTTTCAGGGGCAAAATGGGCACTAATGTGAAGATCCCTGAGGTGACAAAGCTGCTGGACATACAGCTATTGTGTCTGCAGCTTCTTTTTGTGATGCCACCCTGTGTGCTGCAGGACACCCACATTCAGTCTCATCCTGCCCTGATGGGGACTGGAATCCTGGAATCTTTGCCCTTGATCTGAACACTACTTTGGCTCCTGCCAGTTGATATTTATGAACATATCATAATCAATGTGGAAGAAGGTGGATATCCATGATGTTTCTAGCAATTATACTGTTGTACAAAACCAATATCAGATTTTTAAAATCCAAATAATGAAGACACAGTTCCTCAAGAGAGTTTTCTTAAGAACCATTTTCTAAGCATCCTGAAGTTCTTCTTTTCCCAGAAACAAAGTGTATGGCTCTTTGATAACAGAGATCCCAGTTCAGAACCGTTATCAATTTAACAGGCATAACAATTTTCAAGCAGTGGTCAGTTCAAAACTCTTCCTGACCTCTGCAATGACAAAACCCCATAAATCACATATTTAAATAAACAAAGTGGAAAACCAGATTCCATGATACTTTAAAGGATTCAAATACTGAAAAAAAAAAAAAGCCCTCTGTGTCTTCTTTAATTAAAACATGAAGTTTGCATCTGGTATCCTAAGTGCATCTTGCACTTAATTTAAGTAATGTTCAGAAAAAAAGTTTATTGTATTACAGAAAAATCTGTCTCGCTCATTATCATATGATAATTAGATAGTGATGTTAAAGGTCTGACAGGAGAAAGATAATGAATCCCCAGTGTAGAGATAACAGAAGGAATTTCAGCAGTATGATGGACCTCAAAAAGGTATGAGAAAGATGATACCACACATCACAGGTTAAGTCAAACATCTGCAGATGTGTTTCAGGAATGAAGAACACCAGCCCTCCCACTGTTCACCATGTCTTTAGACATTTTATGGACACAACAACAACAACAACAACAACAACACCCAAAAAACCCCAAAAAAACAAAAAAAAACAACAAAAAAAAACCCAACCAAAAACAAAAAACATAAAACCCCCATGAAAATAGT